TACCAGAACAAGTATTGATACCATTGGCTTTGACTCAAATGAAGAATATGAAAGTGATTATTTAAGCCCTTTCAATTTTGACGATGATTATGATTTTAGGAAGATTATGAAGAAGGAGCAAATTTGGCTATTGGTCATCTTCTCGCAGCATCTGCAGCAAGTTTTTAAAAAAAAAAACGTCCAGCTATTTATATTGGAAACTCAAAACGAACAAGACAAAGAAAAAATAAAATATTAAGGAAAGCAACAATAGGATCTTTAAAAATTTCACAATTTTTTTCTGACTCTACACCAATCATTAATAAATCTTCGTACGAAAATGAGAATGAAAATAATAAAAGTGAGGACGAAAATAAATAATGAGGGTATGACTAAACAAGAAAAAATAATTTCTGAAGCAATCGAGTTTGTAAATGAAGTAATTCGTGAGGAACAACTCTCAGATACTGAGAAAGCTCGTTATACTGCAGTTTTGTATTTTTTTCGGCTATTACTTAATAGCAAAAAAAAAATTGAAGCATCAGAGACAGTTGCTGAAGTTACCAGTTGTGGATCGTGACTTGTAAAATGTATCAAAAAGTGGGCGAATATCTGTATTAAAGGTAATATTTTTATTTTATTTTATTTTATGTATTTTATGTCAAATAAATAAATTATTTTTAAATAATTTCAGGAGAATTAATTCAAAGTTTTTGTGAAAAGTTCCCTTCCAAAAGTCTGCTTAATGATGAATTAGTTTCACTCAGACTGGCTACTTATTTACGTTCCCAAAAGTTTAAGATTAGCCCAGTAATGGTCAAAAACTATGCTGAACAACAAATTTTTCCCCAATTGAATACAGAATCTGTGCAACACATTTCTCTTCGAACTGCTCGCCGATGGATGCATAAACTTGGTTTTCATCATAAACGTTATCAGAAAGGTGTTTATGTCGATGGTCATGAACGACCAGATGTAATTGCCTATCGTCAAATCTTTCTTCAAAAAGTTGCAGAACTTGAGCGACTTATGTCCAAATGGTATGACGAAGACTGTAAAATTAGAACCTTCCCACAGTTAGTTAATGGTGAGAAAGAACATATTTGAATAATCCATGATGAATCTACCTTTCATACTTATGATGGACCGCGTGCCATGTGGAGTTCAGAAGGAGAACAACCACTAAAAAAAAAGGATTAGGTCTTGGTGTACATGTAAGTGACTTTTTAACAGAAACAAATGGACCACTCAAAGATGATTATGAAAAGACACGTGTAACAATGGTAATAGGTATATGTCATGATGGATTTTGGGATGCCAAAAAACTTCTTGAACAAGTTAAACGGACAATAAATATTTTTGAAAGAACACATCCAGGATGTATAGATAAAAATAGCAAAATTATTTTTAAAATTGTCTTTCCAATCTTTCCAATCTAAATCATTCTTGTTCAATTTTATCTGTAGGTATATTTGCCTTTGAAAATGCCACATCTTATACAGCTTTTGTAGAAGATGCTCTTGTGGCTTCAAAAATGAATCTTAGTTCAGGTGGATCAACTCCAAAAATGCGAGATACTGTATATACGTGTTGCCCAAATCCCAAATCATTTGGGATTTGGGATGCCAAAATTTCAAATTACTAGTATTTGGAATTTGGGATTTGGGATTTTAGCAAAAAATACTAATCATAATTTGGAATTTGGGATTTGAGATTTTGGCATTTGGGATTTTGACATTTGGATTTTGAATTTGGGTGGCAGGTATAATACTGTATGGAATGGGTGCTGTCAGTCAATGATTATTGAACAAGATTATTTTGTTTATGACAATAAAACAAAATTGAATATTAACTTATATGGTCAACCAAAAGGAATTAAATGGGTTCTTATTGAAAGAGGACTTTGGCGAGAGGGAATGGTATTAGAGTGTGCTTCGTGTAAAAAAGAATCAAATTCTAATATTATTGATTGTTGTGCATGTCGTTTGATGGCTAATCAACTTGACTTTCTTACACAATGTGATCAAATTCAACAAGAAATTAAATCTCGTGAACATAAAGTAGCTAACTTTTATTATTAACTACCATTTATTCTTTTTTAAATATTTTTTTAAATATTTTATTTTAGGTTATATTCTATCACAAGTTTCACCCCGAATTTAATTATATTGAAATGTACTGGGGTGCAGCTAAGAAGTATACCCGAGATAATTGTGAATATTCTTTTCTGAAGTTTAGAAAAACAATCTCTGAAGTTTTTGATTCAATTCCAGTAGAGAGAATCCGTTCTTTTGCTAGATTGTTATTTAGATAGATGGATGCTTATTGGCATGGTTTGACAGGAAAAGCTGCTGAATATGCAGTCAGACAACACAGGAAGCATCGATCAATTAATGAGGAAATT